GACTGAGGGGTTGAGAAGCATTTAATATTTTAATATATTAATGTACAAAAGGGTAGGAGAAAATAGGAGTATTTTTATAATCATCTAATGTGATCTAAAGCCAAAAATTAGCCTGCCCATGAAAAAATTTAGTAGGATGTGTTATTAACAAGGTGAAAAGCTGCCTGTGTGTGTGTGTGTGTGCACAGAACAGAGAAGGTTGTTATAAAGAGCACAGAGAACTCTTTAAAAATGAATGAGAAGAGCTAAAGAAGGCGACAGAGGAGATTAGGCAAAGGGTCCAAACAGAAGACACTCATAAAAGAAATACAAACGAGCAGTAAACATGAAAGGTGCTCACGTTTAGACACGGGGGAAGCAGGCACCTCGCGTGCTGGAGGAGGGTCCAGAAGGCACACTCCTTTCTCCGGGAAGGAAGACGGTGACATACACCCTAACGAAGGCTGGCGAAGCACAAGGAGACGCACCACAGCAGCGAGACGGCAAGTAACGGGAGGAGCTCACAAGCCAGGCAGGGGGGATCGCGTAAATTATCATCCGGGAAACATGCAGCCTCAGGAAGGAGGGGCAGATCTGTGCGCTCTGACATGGCAGGACGGCCAGGTGCACGGGACGTGTGCAGCCAGGGACGGTACTGTGTAACCTGTGAGCCTGTGTGTGTGTGTAACCAGGGACAGGGTACGTGTAAACTGTGAGCCCGTGTGTGTGTGTGTGTGTGTGTGTGTAACCAGGGACAAGGTACTGTGTAACCTGTGAGCCCGTGTGTGTGTGTGTGTGTGTAACTAGGGACAGGGTACGTGTAAACTGTGAGCCCATGTGTGTGTGTGTAACCAGGGACAGGGTACTGTGTAACCTGTGAGCCCGTGTGTGTGTGTGTGTAACCAGGGACAGGGTACGTGTAAACCGTGAGCCCGTGTGTGTGTGTGTGTGTGTGTGTGTGTAACCAGGGACAGGGTACGTGTAAACTGTGAGCCCGTGTGTGTGTGTGTGTGTGTGTAACCAGGGACAGGGTACTGTGTAAACTGTGAGCCCGTGTGTGTGTGTGTGTGTGTAACCAGGGACAGGGTACTGTGTAAACTGTGAGCCCGTGTGTGTGTGTGTGTGTGTGTAACCAGGGACAGGGTACGTGTAAACTGTGAGCCCGTGTGTGTGTGTGTGTAACCAGGGACAGGGTACTGTGTAACCTGTGAGCCCGTGTGTGTGTGTGTGTAACCAGGGACAGGGTACGTGTAAACTGTGAGCCCGTGTGTGTGTGTGTGTGTGTGTGTGTGTAACCAGGGACAGGGTACGTGTAAACTGTGAGCCCGTGTGTGTGTGTGTGTGTGTGTGTGTGTGTGTGTAACCAGGGACAGGGTACGTGTAAACTGTGAGCCCGTGTGTGTCTGTGTGTGTGTGTGTGTGTGTGTAACCAGGGACAGGGTACTGTGTAACCTGTGAGCCCGTGTGTGTGTGTGTGTGTGTGTGTGTAACCAGGGACAGGGTACTGTGTAACCTGTGAGCCCGTGTGTGTGTGTGTGTAACCAGGGACAGGGTACTGTGTAACCTGTGAGCCTGTGTGTGTGTGTGTGTGTAACCAGGGACAGGGTACTGTGTAACCTGTGAGCCCGTGTGTGTGTGTGTGTAACCAGGGACAGGGTACTGTGTAACCTGTGAGCCCGTGTGTGTGTGTGTGTGTGTGTGTGTAACCAGGGACAGGGTACGTGTAAACTGTGAGCCCGTGTGTGTGTGTGTGTGTGTGTGTGTGTGTGTAACCAGGGACAGGGTACTGTGTAAACTGTGAACCCGTGTGTGTGTGTGGGTGTGTGTGTAACCAGGGACAGGGTACGTGTAAACTGTGAGCCCGTGTGTGTGTGTGTGTAACCAGGGACAGGGTACGTGTAACCTGTGAGCCCGTGTGTGTGTGTGTGTAACCAGGGACAGGGTACGTGTAAACTGTGAGCCCGTGTGTGTGTGTGGGTGTGTGTGTAACCAGGGACAGGGAACGTGTAAACTGTGAGCGTGTGTGTGTGTGTGTGTGTGTGTGTCTCTCTCTCTCAGGAGTGGAGTGTGGGGAAAGTTTATGTGTCTGAAATGTTTGCATTTTTATAAACATGTGAAGCCTTTGAACTCGGGGAAAGCATTAAATGTTACAAGTCGCTTTTGATTGGCAGGGGAGCTGCTTAGGGTGATAAACTGCCCAGAACACCTGCCAGGATTTATGGGGGGAGAACTAGGCGTGTCTTTGGCCTAAAATGGTCCCTAAATGGTGGTCGGAGTCCTGAGGGGGGCCCCAAGCTGCTTCCCACGTTTCAAAGTGAGAATAGCACTTCTCCTGGGCCTTCCAAGGGCCACCCACCGAACGACATCAGGTCTCTGTTTTGGGCTGGGATCACCTCCACTCTGCCATCACCTGCAGAACCTGTGGCGGCTCTGCCCCTGAGCAATATAAAGAAAAGGGGGCGGGGAAAGGTTAACTCCTACTTTATATCAGCTTCCTTACTGAAATATAAATAAAGATAAGTCTGGATGGTGGAAAGGTTCCATCTCACAAGTGGAGAGGAGGCGGCTTATTTCCTGTTGCAGTTTAAGACGTGACCACTAGATGGCGGAAAGGGACCACGCATTTTGCGGCCTCTCCCTGCACAGACTTCCTTCACGTTAATGAGCACAATGAAAGCTTTCCAGAGTCCAGAGAAGGAACAATTGTGCTGGGATATGAACACTCTGCGTTTATAGAATTGGGACTCTGCCATTTCATTACTGATGCAAAAATCTCCCGCTTCCCTTTCCGCCCGCGCGTGCAGGTTCCAGAGCCACACGGAAGCTCGGCCGTGGGGAGAAGGGGCCAGCAGAAGCCGATGGAACCTGCACGCCCAAAAGTTGAATTCAAAAGCCCCTTCCCCCTCGAGCTGCCACATGCGTCCCATTAGCTTCCCCCGCCCCCTCATGTCGCGACGTGGGTGCTTGTGGAGCGGGCCCCGAGCTACATAAGCAATAAGCCCCATTTTTCAACACACAAACATAAAGATGTCAACGCAGACTGTTTACTAATTAACGCTTAAAAAGACACAAATTAGATATGCGTGGCTAAGAGCAATTATAATCAAGACGAATTTCTCTAGTCATTTGGGAACTGGAAGAAAAAAAAGGCCTAATTGCTGGAACCAATGTTTTAAAAACTGAAATCATGCCAGTTAGCAAATATGTTCATTTAAAGAACGCTCCACGTGACTGCGCTCTGGAGGGCTGACTGCAAACACGGGGACAGGGAAAATATTTAGGGATAAAATTAAAATTCTACGCTCCCTCAGATCTGTAACTTCCTCATTAAACACGCCCGCACACGCAGCCCGTAAAAACCTGTAGCCATTAAGTGGTTAAACGTGCTGCCTCCCTTGTCACTTTTAAGGGAGTGATTAATATTAGACCGTCCCTCTGCTAATTAGACGCTCCCTGTCTTCGGCTTCGGAGCCGTGAACATGGAGGCTGTGGCTCCCCCGGGAAGCTGGTGGCGACCAGCACCCCTCGCTGGGTGGGAGCGGCGCCCCGAAGGGAGGGAGCGTGGTTCCCATGGGGGCGGGCGGCGGCGCGAGAGGCTGTGCGTGGAGCTGGCCGGCCCCCCAGGCCCGTCCGGCACAGGACTCAGCGGCCGTCCTGCACGCAGCACGAAGCCCACCACTGGCAGGGCCCTCTCCCGGCCACCGCGCCCGAGAGCGGGACGGGGGGAGAGGGAGGCGGAGGGGCCGGCGGAGGGCCACAGGCCCGGGCACAGTAACGGCCACGGGGCTCGCTGCCGGGACAGGATCCAGCGGGTGGAGCAGGGCGACTGCTTCCCGGACGTGAAGCGGCGGAGACGGGCGTGTGCGAGCCCGGCTCACGGGAGGGAAGATGCTCCATCACAGGCCGGCCCTCCGAGGAGAGCGCCTGGGCCTGGGCGGGAGGACAGTGAGGCCCGAGGGGGACACGGCTCCGGGGAGGCCCGCGGGCCCGAGACCTCAGGTGCTGCCGCTCCTGCCGCTGGCCACCCCGGGCCCCTCCAGGTGAGGGGAGAGGAACAAACCTCCTCAGGCCCGGGGCCCGTCTGCTGGCACAGGCCCGCGCTGAGCCGTGGGCGGAGCGGGCGGCGGGCCGTGGCCGGGGGAGGAGGGGCGGCGAGGAGCGTGGCTGTAACGTTTTTATTAACCGCGGCTTCGTTCACTTTCAACAACCCGCCCGCGTGGCCCGAGCGTGTCTCTGGGTCGAGACTCTCTGCCTTTCCAGTGACTTTTTCTTTGAGATCTGCTCGACAGCATGCACACGCCCTCCCGGGGGTGATTTCATTCGGACACGCCAGGGAGGTCCTGCCTGCCGACCAGGGCTCGGACCTGCGGGCGGGCGGGCGGGCGGGCCATCGGGAGACGTTCCCCAGGTCACACCCGGGGGCAGAGCTGGCCCGCTGTCCTCTCCCCTGCCCGCTGCCTCCCGGGCCCCCACGGCCCGCAGACACCCAGGCGCGCACGGGGAGCCTCGCCCACACTGCCTCTGAGCTCACTGGGGTTCCGTGGGGCCCACCACGACCGGGTGAATCCCGTCTCTGTCCAGGGTGTCAGCGCAGGCCCTGACCCCAGGCTCCAGGCTGACAGGGCGATGGGGTTCAGGCACGGAGCGGCCTGTCCCAGGGCCACAGGGAGGCCCGCGAGCCAGAGACCTCAGGTGCTGCCACTCAGAAACTTCGTTCAGAAACTTCCACGGCCCCTCCGGGGCTGGATGTGGGCCGGCCCTCTCCTTCCTCACCCTGGGGGCAGGGAGCAGGGAGACCAGGGAGGGGCCCTGACAGGCATGAAGCACAGGTGAGTCTCTGCATCTGTGCCCCTGACCAAAGGCAGCCCCCTCCCACAACCCGAGCGCCACCGAGGAGGGCCCACGCCAGGCAGGCTGAGCCGGCGCCGGGAGAGGGGCTGACGGGGATCCTGTGTGCACCCCCAGCGTGGCAGCCAGCCCCCTTCCCCCGAGCTTACCCCCCCCCCCCACCCCCGGCTTACCTCTTTCTCGATCTCCGCCAGAGACTTGATGGTGATCCCCAGCAGGTCAAAGGGCTGCATCTGAAAGCACAGGCCACAGCGCCCTTTAGGCAGGCACAGCCCGTGCCCTCACCCCCGTGTGATCCGGGGTCCCCTCGCCCTCTCCCCGGCCCTGCAGGGACCAGCGCGGGCTCTTCCGGAAGCCTGGCTGGCAGGGGGGGACCACTGCTCAGTCACCCGCCTTCAGCGCCCGAGGGTCACGCCGTCCGAAGCCAGGCCTGTCACCAGGGACCCCTCCCCGCCCGCTTCATGTAGGAAACGGTTTGCTTTCCTCCCGCGGCCCTGGGAGCAGGCGGTGAGCTCTCCCCCGGACTGGGGGCCAGGCAGGAGCTGGGGGAGCTCCAGGCCTTTGGAAATGCCAGGGGTGTGAAATCACTGCCTATCAGCGATCACTTGTGAAACGAAAGGTGGTGGAAAATAATGCCGCATTTTGGTGGGTGTTTCTGTAATTTCACGAACGTGGGGGACCTTTTAATAAAAGATGCTTCTCAACAGGAGGCATGGAAAGCCGAGCACGCTGAGAGCCAGCGGAGGCCCAGAAGCGGGCTGAGCCTCCTCCTGCCCCCGGGATCCCGGCTCTGAGCGGCAGGCCGAGGGGCAGAGTGGAGCCGGGCTGGGTCTCCTGTGAGACGAGGTGGGAAGAGGCCCGGATTCACACCGGCCTCGGTTCCACGCCCCCTCCTCGCCTCGCCCGAGGGAGCAGCGGGCCGGCCGGGCTGGGGGAGGACTGGGCGAGGGGGGCACGGGGAGCTCCTGGCACCGGCTCGGCCTGCTCCGCGCCGCGGGCACTTGCTGAGTCGGCAGCGCCGGGCAGCAGCCATTAGCGAGGGCGGTCTTGGGGCAGGGCCACCGAGCCAGGCCTGGGCCCCGGGCCGCTGCCAGCAGCCGGGAAGCAGTTTGGCTCTTGCTGCTGCCAGGCCGCACGCGTGGGCCGCCTGCCCGGCCGCCGGGCTCCGGCGGAGGCCCAGCTGCTGTGTCATTAGCTCTCGCTGCCCACTGGGCTTCCCGGCCGGAGCGGGTGCGCAGGACAGAGGGCCTCTCCCAGGGGCGGGCGGGAGAGGCGCCAGCGTCGCCATGGCAACGCGGCCGGAGTCGGCGGAGTTACTCGTGCTCCAGTGTCAGTCAGGAGCGTTTTCGGGATGAAGCTGCTCGGAGGAGCCGACTGTATTTCATGGAGGTGGAGACTCAGCCGCCATGTGTACGTCCGATCCAAGAACACCGCGGACGGGTTCTCCAGCCGGTGCCCCCCAGGCCCTCCCGGTTATTAGCTCTTAGAGCAAACGTCTCCAGGAGGACAGAACCCCGGGGACCGGCTATGGGCCCGCGTGGGCCCGGCCTGCAGGGCGGGCCGAGGGCCACTGCCGCCCCGGGGGGCAGGCAGCCGGGGAGCCTGGGGGCAGGCGGGGCGGGTGCCAGGCCGGGCGGGTGGTGGGCGCCGGCCTCTCGGGTCTGAGCGCTGCCTTCAGGCCCCGGCAGCCACGCAGACCCCGTCCTAAAGGCAGCGGGGCGGGCGCGGGCCTTGGCTGGCTCCCGGGCAGTGGGAGGCCGGTGGGGAGGCTGGCAGTCAATGGAAAGCCCCCCGAGAGAGCAGAGGACACGGGGTCACGGAGTAGCAATCACAATGGGAAAACGAGGCAGCCTCCCTTTTCGGTGGGACGTCATCATCCTTCAATAAAAACCCCAAATTAAGCTGAACTCGGACACCAAGCGAAGTTCAGTCCAATTAACCATCACATCCGAAGCAACAAGGCTTGGCTGCATCTGGGTTTGCTAGTCACTCTGCTCCCCTCCTCTCCGCTCCCCCTTTCACTCGATCTCAAGGACCTACACGGGGCAGCACCGGCCCCCAGGCTCAGAGGGGCCTGGCTCTCCCCGCCTCAGGCAGCCTGTCGCTGGCTGCAGGGCTGAGCTTCCAACCGAGGGGAGTGGGGGGGACGGGGGGATAGATGTGCCAGCAGAAATGACCCCAAGGGGCAGGGTGTGAGGGCCGCCAGGAGAGCCTGCAGGCCGTGCCCGGGGCAGGGGGGGCTCAGACTGGGAGGAGGAAGGGAAGGGAAGGGGATAGGAGGGGAGGGGAGAAGTCGTGCGTGACACTTACACTTTCCGGAACACAAGAAAACTTCTCTGAAATCATAAAGGGCACTCCATCCATTGCTGCAAGAGAAGAGGAGAGAGAAGGGCGTTGTAGACACCACCAGGTTAAATAACCGAGACGTCGGCAGAGACAGCACAGCCAGGCCCTGCTGGAGCCAACCCGCACGCAGGGCCTGAGTCCAGGCACCGCCCTGCCCCGGGGCTCGGCTGGTGCGGAGCAGACACTGCGTCCCCTGAAGAGCGGGCAGCGGGGTGGACGGAGCGGAGCGAGCGAGGGCCCCGCACCGCCCGGAGCCTGCCCCGGCCTGAGGCAGAGCCGGGAGGGGCCGTCAGACACGCTCTCAGCTGAGGGTCACATCCAGCCTGGGGCCCTCAGGTCCGGGATCGGGTTTTATCCCTCCTTCCAACTGACAGTCACGTGTTCCAGAGAAAGATCTAGAAACACAGCTGCACTGTGGCCGTGGTGGCCCCTGGACTGTTGGCCAGCTGCTGCCCACCAGCTGCGACGGGCGGGGAGGGCCCTCCCAGGTGGCTGGTGGGGCTCGGAAGGATGGGATAAAAACTGAGGAGAAAAAGACGCAGAAAAAGGCAACTGGAACATGTTAGCAGCAGTAGCATTCCATGTACCTCTATGTACGTCGCACTGCGGACGTTTTGTGAGTTAATAAAGCTGCAGCGGTCACCACAACCTGCGTGTCTGCTTCCACACAATCAGACGTAAGCCTACCTCTGCCACCCCGTACAATGCCCACTTTCAGAGATAAACATGGACTGTGTCATGTCTCTCTTACTGCATATTCACGTTTTACATTATACACCTATACACACGTGTACACACATGTACCCACATACGTAGCATTTTCCAAGGCCTGCTCTTAGCTCCTGAGAGACTGAAGGGAGGGGGAGACAGTGCCCCTGCCGCCAGGGAGAGGCCCCTCCACACCGGAGAACCCGCACGGTGGGGGCTAGGACCAGCGGGCTGACCCCCATATGGGCGAGCAGGTGTGGGGCGAGGCACCCCGAGGCGGCCGGAGGCGGAGCCAGAGGCGAGGCCCTGTGGGCGCCCAGGCAGCGTGTGGAGCTGGGGGAGGCGTTGGGACGAAGCACCACCTCATCTCCGAGCTCAGTCACCTGCTCTGCACAGGCTTCTAGGGAACGGAGACACACTCGGAAGGAAGGCAGGCAGGCGACTGGCTGGCTGGGCCCCGTGGCTGGGATCGGACGGAGTGCGCTCTGGACACTCCCAACCCCGGCGGAGCTCCTCGCGCCGGCAGAGCCCCCAGGCGCCAGCGAGTTTGCCGAACTGACAATCTGCCTGCCAAACGGCACTGATTTAAAAAAACCGAAACGTCACAGATTACGGTGGGAGGAAGGGATGTGGATTTTGCGAAACATGGGAAAGCCATCGCGTGTGACCCACGTGGACGAGACGGATAAACAGCTGACCGTGTGACGGGGAATCCCTAACTGGCTGGACTCGGTGCCCGAGCAGCTGGCTGACAGATCGGTGTTGACCTGGAGCCATCTCTCTGGCTGCCCGGCGATACCCGTGAGGACTTACACAGTATGCTGGTGTAACATCAGAGGCCGGCGCACGCCGTTCCCGCACTGGGGCGGGGGGAGGGGAGGGGGCATCCAAAGGCACTGATCCCAGACTGGGTAACCCTCACACGGTGGCTTGCAGGTTGTTATTAGGGAAACTGAGGCTCAGAGCAATGATAGAGCTGGAGGGAGCCAGGCTTCGAGCCCGAGGCCTGCTGGGGAGGGTGTGGCGGGAGGACGGGCTGGGGGTCAACGGAGCAGGTGGCAGGTGTGCGGCCAGTAGGCTGCCTCAGCTCTGGGAGCCTCGGTGACCCTGTCTGTAAAATGGGGACAGCACAGCGCGCTCTCTCTCTCAGGGCTGCTGTGGGGAGAAAGGAAAGGTGACAGACAGCGGGAAGGGCCTCTGAGCGCCGGCAGAGTGCTTCCCAATCTCATCTCGCTTTTTACCTGTGTTTTCGGTGGCAGTTTGAACAAAACGTGCCGAGCCAGCCAGCTCCGCCGATGGAAGCGGGAAGTGCCGCGGGCCCGAGCACAATTAGCATTCTCCTAAACAAACGGAGCCGTGGCAGGCTGTAATTAAGCAGGCCTGTAATTAAGAGTGTGCCCTTTATCATAACGATCATGCTTAAGGATGGCAGGGCGCGTGGAACTCTGTTATTAATGCTGCAATCCCACACCGAAGCGCGGCTGCATAGGAATCAGCGTGTCAGGCCTGTCAGCGGAGTGTTTGTAAAATACGTTAAAGGAAAAACAGGAAACAATGAGCTCATTCAACTGTTCTCCGTGCAGCCGGGCGCTGAGGCCAGGAGACCGGGAACCTGCGAGGTTTAAACAAACAAAGCTCGAACCCGCTACGGTGTTAAAGCTGGCCCGGCGTCAGAGGAGGAGGGAGGGGGTGGGACTTCCCTCCCAGCTGCCCCCACGTCCGGCGCTGCGCGTGGGGAGGGGGCCGGCCTGCACGCCCAGGCGCTGAGCATGGGGAGGGGGCCGGCCTGCACGCCCAGGCGCTGAGCGTGGGGAGGGGGCCGGCCTGCACGCCCAGGCGCTGCGCGTGGGGAGGGGGCCAGCCTGCACGCCGAGTCTGTTGGACGTGAACGTGGACTCCTGCGGCACAGGTGGCTATGCCATGAGCCTGTGGGTACTCTGTCTGGCCATGCGATGGGGTGCAGCCCCTGTGTCTTCCTTCCGATGAGAAGTATAATTTTACTGGCCAAGGCGGCCCCCTCAGAGCCACCCTGAAGTCCCCCTCCAAGCACGCATCTCTGCAGGCGCGACCCCAGCCCCCGCGGACCGCCTCCCGAGGGCTCTGCCAGGGCCCCCATCGCCTTGGGCACCCACGTGGCTCAGGGCCGCCAGCCCCTTCCCCACTGATGTCTCCACCACCACAACGGCTCCAAGCAACACAGGCGTTCTTTTCAACACGCCTGACAGTCACAAAACCACGTGGTAAAAATATAAAATAAAATAAAGAAGAGAAGACTCCACGGCCAGCACCTCGTCGCTATCTGCTCCGCTGCCGAGCGGAGTTAGTGAGCGCACATGAGCGGGGAGCACGACCATCTCAGAGCCAAGGCCTGCGGGCCTGGGAGCTGCTGGGGCTCAGCGGTCAGTGATCAGACTCCGCCACCCCCTCCCTCGCCTGCCTGGTTCACGCCCTTCACAGTTCGTGCAGAACGCCAGCCATTTCTCAAAGCTCCCTGCAAACCCGATCGCCAAGGGGCCCCGCGTTCCTGGGGCCCCGCGCTGGGATGCTCTCGGAGGAATCTGAAGACGCCTCCCGGCTGTCTGCTCGCTGACAACGTTCCCATTGAGTCCACACAGGCCGGCAGCTCCCTCCGGGCCCACGTCACCTCTAAGCCCAGGGCGGGATCTGTCAGCGCAGAGCCTCCCGAGGCCCCCACGGGGGTGGCCCCGGGGAGGACGGAGCTGGCACGGGGTGGGGCCACGTGAGCCCAGCCACTCGTGGGCGCTGGGTCCGTGCTTGGCCTGTGAGTGTCACGGGTGAGCCACCACCAAGGGGCCAGCATAGCCTGCCCCGCACAAGCACTGCACTCGGCGGGCCAGGCTGCCTGCTGTGCCCTGGACAGGAGCCCGATGCCGAGGGCGGAAAACCCCTGGTCGGGGTGATTTGCCAGGTCCGTGCTCTTTAAGATAAGGTCCCTTCACACCACAAACCAAGGTTCTCCGAGCTTCTAGTAGTTGGCAGTTAGGGAGTTCACCCCCCCCCCCACCCCATTCCTCAGTCTCCTTCTCCACACAAAATGCCTGCGAGTAACTCCCCTCCCACAGTCCAGCGTCCTGGGGGGGGTCCGAGGGCCCTCAGAGCGGCCTGAGGGGCCGAGGGGAGGGGGCTCTGAGCAGACCCGCCTCCGGAGGCTGGGGCTCCCCGGCCTTCGAGCGGCAGGGGCGGGAGGCCCGTGAGCAGGCCGAGCCGTGGCCCCACACTCAACGCCCACGAGGAACCCCACGTACACAAACAAGGACATTCTCACTCGGACACAGAAATGCTTTTTAAAACTTCCCAAGTGCTTCCTGGCCTGGGGCAGAGGCCACCTGCATTTTGCTCCGAGTGAGGACATACGGAGAACACGGTGGGAACAGCTCCCGGCGGGACACGGAGGCGGGACACGGAGACGGCGCCGGAGGCGGGGGGCGGGAGGGGAGGACGGCAGCCCGTGGGCCCGGAGACGTTCCTACTGAGACCACGCGACCAGGAAGCGCCACGCCTGGCCCAGGCGGTGTGCCCCCTGGGGGTCTGGGGGATCACTGTCAAACGCAGTGTCTCTCCTCGTTCGCATCCCTTCCCTTCAGAACGTCCGCCGATGGAGGCTGAAGTTCGCCGGGGACGTCAGGCGCTGCAGCCAGGCGCACAGGGGCTGCCAGAGGGTGAGGCCCGCTCCCCTGCCTGCCCTCCCCCACACCCTGCTCCCACCCCTGGGGACCCACGGCCCTGCCCTGCCCACCTCTTCCCACAGGCCCAGCTCCGATCACCAGGACTTTCCAGAAACACCTCCCTGTGGAAATGGCTTCTGCCGAGAGCACTGCGTCACCTCCCCAAACCCAGCTCCCGGCCGCCCCCTCCGGCCCCCAGGGATGCCAGGAACAGGGGCGCCTGGAGGCTGACACCCACCCCGATGTGGGAATGCCGGGGCATGTGCGTCTCTGCCCGAGTGCCACGCGGTCCCCAGATCTCAGGTTTAACGTTAACCTTTACGGGGCATGCCACGGACACGTGTTCTCCAAACACTGCCGTTAGCTCGCCGTGCAAGTCCGCTGCGGGGACCGGTGAGCTGCCGTCCACCTGCCTGCACCTGCCACGGCGTCGCCCGCCCCCTGATGGCGGTTCCCGCCGAGCCCAGCAGTCCCGCTGCCGGACAGTCCGGCCGCCGTGCCCACCACGCCCGCCCGCGCTGCCCGCAGGCCTAACAATAGCGCCGGCCGACGCCCCTCGGCTTCAGCGCCCGTGAGCGTCAGGATCTGAAAGAAGGCGCCTGGAGATGACAGAGCTTCAGCCCGGG